TATAAAGGTTAACATTGAGGACCTTTTAAAAATGCTCACTGCCTGCCTATCTGGCTTTAAGGATTGGAGTTGATCACCAGAATGACTATTTTCCATTCTAGTGGCTCTAAATCTGGCCATACACTCGGGGCCGGATTTCCCACAAGGCCCACCCTTGGGGCAGCAGAGGTGTGAAATTCATATCTCCCGACGCCTGGGACATGCAGTTCTGGGCGCTGGGCGGGTAGTTGTTTTCTACATTTAGCCCTGCTTGTTTTGTACAAGTGATCTCAGCGATGTCAACAAGATCACATGTATGCAGCCTGCAGGTCTGCCATTCTCCATGGTGGGGGGTTGGTTGGCGGGTAGGGGGGCGCACTGAGGAACCTGGCCTTGGGGCAGCAAAGAGAGTAAATCCGGCCCTGCATACACTGATAGATTGTCCTACAACCTTTCAGAACATTTCATATTGCCATCAGTCATTCAAGATTTCAATTGAATTCAAGTTTGGAAAACATTAAAGTGACATTAAACCCTCAGATTTTTTAACATAAAACAATAGTCATGTGTGCCTTAGTGTAATCCATGGTAGTTTCCCTTCTCTTTGCTGCTCTTCCTTTTAAATCTGTATCTGTTCTCATGCTGGGCAGAACTTCTGTTTTGCAGCAGACTGCCTTGTCTCTGGAATGGATACACGGTGTCTGTGTATACGTTTCTATAGGCTTGTAACCTGAGCCAGCACTACAGGAAGAGGCCCTGAGCTGCAAAGGGAAGTTCTCCCCCAGCATGAGAAGACATGAGGATTTAAAAGGAAGAGCAGCAAAGAGAAGGGAAACAACCATGAATTACAGTAAGGCACACATTACAGTATTGTTTTATGTTAAAAAATCTGAGCGTTTAATGTCCCTTAAGTTTACAGAACACAAACCACATTCACTGAATCGTGTTCAAGAAAAAACAAAATGTCCATCGTGCCCCTTCAATTTTTTTTGTTACTATGGTCAAAATCGATAATCAGTTTGATCACATTATTAAAAAAATCCAACAAATGTTCCAAAAACAAATGTGTTCAAAGGAAATTCTACTGTTCCATGGCCAGCTAGAGTATTGAAGCCAGGGGTTTAGCATGACAAGCAGGGTTCAAGTGGGAGGGGGTTTAACAGCAGAGAGCATGCTAAGCATTAAGCCAATGGGATAGCAGCTATAGAGGGTATTGTATGCGCTTACAGCCATCCAACATATGTTCTTGAATGCTGTAATTCCTCCATAAACACCCTGAAATCATTCTGCCCATCACTCACAGCTGGTTCTGGCCTGTCCCCTCCTCCACTTTACTATTTGCTCATCACTGTGATAGGCAGCCTCAAAAACCAATAGTGGGGCGTGGGAGGCAGTGAGCCAGAGATGGTGAATGCAGGAGCTGACCATTGTTTCCAGCCAGAAGGGTTCACTTTTGGGCTCTTGGGTAATTTGCAAGATAGCCACAAGAGCTTGCATGTACCCGGGGGAGACGACTATTCTATACAAATTTGTATTACCTAATGTGATACATTCAGCCCCAGTTATTTGTAATATGGGAACTGCCTTTGCTGACGGACCAGGGTTTTCACCCTGGACCCTTCTTTATGCCAAGCAATGAGTGAATATGAAAGGCTTCTATACTACATACTTGTTACAGGTCAGTAGCCAGTGGGTGAGGACATGAAGTGGGGTAAGGTCCTCGGAGATCTATCAGCAACCAGTGGGTAAGGCTATGGACAACAATTTCAATACAAATTAGTAACTAAAACACGATATTGTAGTCCATCACAGGAGTGAGCTTGGAGCGGTGACTACTTTAGGACAGTGCTCCCCAACCTTTTTATCGCCGCGGACCGGTCAACGTTTGATAACTTTACCCCGCGGCCCGCTGAGGGGGGGGGGACGTTGATTATTTATATTTTAGATTGTTTTGATTTAATAATTTTAATTTCATTGTATTTAAACATGCCTTCAAAATAAAATACAGTTACACCAAAAAATGAATATAAAGTGATTTAACATTTTAACTCACTGGTGTGTGGGAATCAACTGTCCCGATAAATCCATATTTCAAGTAGGACTCATGGTATTGTCTGTAAAAGTTACATGTTTCTTTGATGTTGAAGGCCCTTCTTCTGTCTCTTCACTGGGCCTTTTCTTTTTCCCAGGGAAACTTTCTAACGACGTCTGTTTCGTACTCATTTTTGTTAATTTGTGGGTTAAATTTGAGCAAACACAATATACACGTACACCAAGCACGGTTAAACATGAGAAAGTACCGGTGAACAGAGAGAAGAGCGATACACACCTTCTCTTTACCAAAGCTACAACGCCACTGCCGCTTGCAGCCGCTCAGCTCAGACGTCACCTAAATCCGCCCCGATATCACGATATTTTGCTCATGCGCGGTATTGGTGCGGCTTTAGGTGACGTCTCTCAGCTCCCGGTTAACCTCTCGTCCTGGAAAGACCGAGAGAAATACACCACAGTAAATAAAATGGAAATAATTTAATGTTCCTTGGGCAGCCCGGTACCATTTGATGCACGGACCGGTACCGGTCCGCGGCTCGGGGGTTGGGGACCACTGCTTTAGAACACACACAGGGACCATGGGGGAACAAAAGTAGCCCCCCTCCAGAAGGAAGGACAGTGTCAGCACCAATTCAGAGATGATTGGAGGATCTACAGCCGAGTGATACACAAATAAGATAATTGTTTTGTTAATAGTTAAGGGACTTGAATGGATTTTTAAGATTGAACTCCTGAGGTTAGTGTCAGTTTAAGAGAACCTGTTGCTTTGCTCTGCATTGGAACATTTTGGGCACTGGGGGGAGCTTCTCTAGGATAGGTATTTAAGCAGCTGATAAGAGGAGTCACAAGGGAGGACCCCATTGTTGTGATTCTCATTCATACTATATTGGGCAGACTGTAGGCAAGGAGATGGTACCGAACCCTGCAGGCTCTTCAGTATATCCAGAATAGTGACACTATTAAGAAAAACTGACTGGACAGAAATGCATTAATTTAAAAGAGAACTATGAGGTGAGTGTTTTTCACTCACCTCATAGTTCTAGCCGGCATGTGACAATGAGACTGTCACAGGTCGGCTCAGTATATCGAGAGGTGAGTGAACATATACTGGCGTTCGCTCACCTCTCGATCCTTTCACGGCTCTCTGCAGTGACAGGGGAGGGGCTGGATTCCCCCCGCTCCGATCCGCCAGCGCTGTAGCTTAGGGTATACTGAGCTTAGGGTGACGGGAGGACGCTAGTTTGTGGCCTCCTGTTACCCTAAGGAGACCTATGGGGAAAAGCCCTAACCCCATAGTTCTCCTTTTAAGGGTCTATTTATAAACAATTCACAGATCCATTTGCCCTGTAGAGGGAATTCTTATTTCCTATGAGCCTCAGCTCCATCTAGTGGCCATGATGCAGTGTTACATTACATTCACCCTGAAAATATACCAAGAACATTCATTTTTGCCTCTATTTGCACAGAACGGAATGTCCAGATATTCGCAGGGTGAATGGCTCTGTAAATTATTTATAAATAGATCCCTTAGTGTATTTCACAGTTCTGTTTTGGCAATTTTTTTTTTTTCTTAAAGGGTTTTTGTATTGTTTTTATGAACTTTAAAAAAACAAGTACATGTCACGAAGGCAAGAAGTGATGTAGACACAGACTGCAAGTACACTTATGTATTTGTATTGTCTTTACGTGAATGTATATAGATTTTTTACCCTTGTGGCACAGGTATCTGTCTCAACCATGCCCAGTATATGTCATTGATACAGAGAAGAGTGGTGTAGGATGAATAGGTCTAGATCAGCAGTAGCCAAACGTCAGCTCTCCAGCTGTGGTCAAAACTACACATCCCCATGAGGCATTGCAGGACTGAAGGGCACATGCATGACTTCCAAAGGCAAATGCATAATGACGTGTAGTTTCACATCTGGAGGCGGGCAAAGTTTGGCTACCCCTTCTATACAGATACTCAAAGGAAACAGCACAACCTACATGTCTCCATTAATTTACTTACCTGGACCAGATTGAATGCGATTTCTGGAAACATTCTCTGGGTGGTGTAGGCAAATGTATACAATGGGAACATAAGGTTAACCAATCCTTTCAAATCTTGAACTGTCGAGAGTCTCATGCTCTTTTTCCAGTGTATAGCTTTCAATTGTCGGCATAAAGTTGGAGCAGTGAAGGAAGATTGGTGTATTTTAGGGCAGGTTTGAAAGATCAAAAGGTGGGTTGCAGATATTCCGTGGTTTTTTTGAACTGATAAAATGAGTAATCAGACCAAATCGCAGGGCACCTCCACTCCATATGAAGCAATCCAGCCTTCGTGAGGGCACCTAAAACGAGAGGGCACGGGCACCCTTTGCATTTGTTAGTATAGAGCAGGGGTAGCAAACCTCCGGCCCTCCAGCTGTGTCTGGAACTACAAATCCCATGAGGCATTGCAAGATTCTCACAGCCACGACTCCTGAAGAGAGATGCATCTTGGGATTTGTAGTTTCACCACAGCTGGAGGTTTGCTACCCCTGGTATAGAGTATAATACACTATGTGCAGAAGCCGGATGTTTGATATCTCTATTTTCTTTCCTCAGGTGGAGTCTCTCCTCACCCTTCCCCTGTCTCTGGCCTTTACAAGCTCCTCTCAGGGATATACCCATTTCCGGCAGCGTGGTCGTTATGCCTACACTCTACCAGTTTTCCGCCTACCGGGACACAAGGTGTGGGGCCTCACTGCCATGATGACAGACTCCGCTCTCTCACTGCTCTTCCCCGGAAGCTACAGCAGTGTCCTCAGTGGCTCTCGCTCACGATGACATATTGGATTAATAGGACAATACAAAACATGTCATGCGACCGCCACAATAAAAGTTGTCTTTCTTCTTTTTATATGAAGTCTGCTCATACACAAAGCCCTTCCTACTTTGAGATCTACAAAAATGGCAACAAGACAGGTCAGCTTAGAAAGTTCGGGTTTATTAACACGTATGAACACAAGGGGCACAAGCCGACATTCTGTTCTGATAAATAAAGCGGATCGGGCTATGTGTGCACTCAATTGCTGGCCTTCTGCTTCTTGCCCGCATGGAACAGTCTTATCCTCTCCTCCAATTCTGGACGGAAATGACGAATTAAACCCTAAAGGAAAATAAGGATGGTTACGTATGAGAACAAATAGGCAAGCCATACTGAGAACAGGACATAATACCAAAGGACAGGCCACCCAATACCATTGTTTTAGTTGTGTGTGGATGCCAGTGGTGCTACAAACAAGTCATCCCCTAAAACCAATTAAAGTCATAAATAGACAGGGGTGTGGAAATGGAGGTTGGAGTCTATCAATATTTTCCTGTTAAAAAGTTGGACGTGGTTACTACTAATGGCTCAGCAATGTAATAGGCACCGGTGCAATCAGCTCGCCGTATCAACGCTGGCCAGACACATCCCCTTCCCATTCTCTGAAATGTAAGTCTGTGATAGGACACTGGTGCTGAGGGGTGTGGCCATTACTCAGCTTTGCCAGATCAGACTACTGCATTGTGAGGGCAGCAAGCAACATTTTAAGGCATTTCCAAGCACAAAACATTCACAACTTCTAACATGGAGATAAAAAGGTGTGAGAATATAATTAGTCTTCAAAAGAAAACCTTTCCTACGTAGCTACAGAATGAGAAACTAGCAATGTCACCCTTCATGTTCTGTCTGCCTGTCATGCTGACCCTCTGGCATTAAAGGAGAACTATGAGGTGAGTACTTGTCACTCACCTCATAGTTCTAGCCGACCTGCGACGATGAGACTGTCACGGGTCGGCTCAGTAGATCGGGAAGTGAGCGAACACATACCGGCGCTCGCTCACTTTTCGATCCTGTCAATGCAGAGAGCCGTGATGGGAGGGACTGGATTCCCCCCGCACTGATCCTCCATCGCTGACTGGCGGAACGGAGGGGGCGGGTACAGCTGGCTCTGCCTCTAGATAATTGTCGGGACCCGTTTTGCGGCGTCTCAGTATATAGGGAGCTGTAGCTCGCGGTATACTGAGCTTTGGGTGACGGGAGGACGCTAGTTTGTGTCCTCCCGTTACCCTAAGGAGAACTATGGGGAAAAGCCTTAACCCCATAGTTCTCCTTTCATATTGGCCATCAAGAATGTGGATAACTGCTGTCAATGACCTGCAACATGTATGTATATTAGGAAAGTACTGAAGCCAGGCTGCATATGGGTCTGGTAACTAGCATTTGCAGAAGGCGGCTAGCCAAAGTTTTATCAACACAGCCAGGGAGCGAATACTTTAAAAAGGTGAGTTTAGCAAAGCAGCCTCCAGGATTTTCATGCGACAGAGTCCCTTTAATGCCCAGAGGAAGCATGAAACGTATGAATACCAGAAAACAAAACTATTACTTCAAAGACTTACTAGTCATACCTTTTGCGATCAGGAAATAAAACTAAGTAGTAAAGTATATCACCAGCACGCCAAAGTCAGATCTTCAAGGAGTGGTCGTTTTATTGACGTGCACGCATCTCGTCATAAAGCAACGTTTCAGGGTCCCTTCATCAGGCATGACTGATGAACGGACCCGAGTGGCCCTGTTGCTTTATGACGAGAGCCCTTTTTGTTGGTAGGCCTGAACTCAGCATCTCCCTCCCCTTCCATGCAGAAGTCTTTCTAATAGTAGGGCCACCGCACTGCAAGATGGATTTACCTGCACTGGCCAAGCCGCGCCATCTCCTAAAGCGCAGATCGTGTGACCTTCTATTTGCTTGCTGATCTCCCACAACATGTCTATCTCGGCCTCCTGGGCGTTTCCTTGGCACATCCTCCACATCATTGTGTTCATCCAGTCCACCCCTGTGAAGATCAAAAAAAGGTAAAGACCTCTATAGCAGGAGTGGGCAAATGCCAGCCCCCCATCAGTGGTAAAACTACAAATCCCATTAGACACCGCCAGACTCTGAAAGCAACAGGCATGACTTCCAGAGGCAGATGAATGATGGGATTTGAAGTTTCAGCTGGAGGGCCAAAGTTTGCTCTATAGCAGTGGTTCTCAACTCGTTGCGGCGACTGAGGGAGCTCACGGCTAGGAGGAGACCAGCGGCCGGCATGACTTATGCGGCGTGTGAGGCAGCTCGCGGCGGGTGAGAGAGCTCACGGCTAGGAGACGAGCAGCGTGCGCGGCTTCGGCCTGTTCGGTGGGCATGGCTTATGCGGCGGCCTGTGCGGTGGACACGTCGGGAGCAGCGTGTGACGCGTGACGTGCGACTCAGGCCGCGTGCGGAGCCCCGAACAGGCTAAGCAATCGATAGCCGACGAATCGACGATCGAAAACGTTGCCAACGTTTTCAATCGTCGATTTTAATCGACTTAATCGATTAACTGTTGCAGCTCTAGATGGCATACAGTCTTGTTCTTTCCTGACCAGACTTTTTGAAGCTTAGATGCTCAGACCATGTTTAGCAGCATCAATATGCGTCAGATAACTTGGACAGTAACTGTATGACTAGTTTTTCAGTCTGACATTAGACCTGAGAACTAGGAACACACACTGTTGCACGTTCCTAGTTCTCTGCTACGTACATGCCTGCTATATACTGAGACTGCCGCAGCCTGAAAGGATCCTGACAATTCTGTTGAGATCCACCCAGCTGTCTGACAGCGGGCTCTGCCTATCTAGAGGCATAGCCAGCTGTGCCCGCCCCCTCGCCCGTCCGTTCCGCCAGTCAGTGTTGAAAGATCAGAGCGGGGAATCCCTATAGGAGACGGTGAGTGACAGTCACGGCTCTCTGCAGGGATAGATCGAGAAGTGAGCGAGCGACGGTATGTGTTCACTCACTCCCGATCTATTGAGCTGACGTGTGACAGTCTCATTGTCACATGTCGGCTCGAACTAAGAGGATGAATGTAAATCACTCGCCTCATAGTTCTCCTTTAAGCTTTGAAAATGAAAGATAGTAGCTGATTGGTTACTATGGGCAACAGATTCTGTCTGCTCCAGTTTTGGTACATTTCCCCCGATGAATTTAAGTGCAAAGGATACTTGATGTTAAACTGACCCTATTATCAGCATGGACTGTCATTAAAGTACATCCGTCATCACAGAAATGAAGAGGATGGCGCTGTGGTTATCTGGCTGTCATGGCAGGCAACTAGCATCCTAAGGAAAGTTTAGCAATGGCATTTGTCAGGACTCTTGTGATAGATTTTACTTTATCAAAGGGAAACCTATCAAGAAAGAATATACGAGCTGCCATTGCTTTCCTTCTTCTGGACATCCTAGCTGCCGTGATGTTTCTAGTAACAATACATTGGAGTGACAGACCCAGACCCAGATACACAGAAGACACATTTCCTTATCTTTATACTAGTTTCAGGAAAGTATCAAAACCAACGCTCCAGCATGACAGCCAGACAACCACTATTGTCAGGAGACGTCATCAAGTCAGCTCCTATATGTCTCTATATTTCAGGTGTACAATACTTTAAAGAAGAACTCCAGGATGCACATCGCTTTATATATCTTTAGGTCCCCCTCAGTGGAAGCAAACTGCTGTAACGATTTATCATAAACGTTCTTACTTTTCTTGTAATTCTCATGTTTAGCTTCCAGTGATGTCACATCCTCCTATTATTAGATCCGTCCTTCCTGCAGCCATTGGGAGGGTCTAGGTAACAGTGTGTGCGTCATATCCTGGCATAGAGAGCCGACTACATCTCCCATCAGGCATTGTGAAATAGAGTATGTGGGAGGTGTGTGTGGGCAGAGCTGAGAGTGGAGATGGGAAGAGCTACAAAAGGAACACGCGGGAAATGCTGAGTAAGATACATTTTAAAAGGGCTCAGTGTTGAATCAATAAGACCGCAGCTCTGGTAATATGATCCTATATTGTGAATGGTCAGCTTCTGCCAGCCACTCCCTGCAACTGAGAGGCACCGCATGAGGCAACAGGGATCGGCGTAAAACTGTGAGTGAGGGAAGCTGGGACGGGGCTGGCTGTAAATCTATTGCTATAGTGTACTGGACGTGTGTAATGTATATGTAGTACATATATACAGCACATACCTCCACTACACTCCAGCAATAGAGTTACAATTCTCCGCTGCTAACATGAATAGGTTAAATCATGATCCATAGTACAGAACATGTAGTTGTACTATGGATCATTTAAAGGCACCTGTCCCTTTAAGAAAAAGTATCGGTAATTGGTATCGGCAAGTACATGAGGGGAAGTACTTGTACTTGGGCCTGAAAAAGTGGCATCGGGACATCCCTACCTGCAACCAACCAATCAGCCAGCCAACAGAAAACTGAGATTTAGAACTTACAACAGTTCGGAGTCTCCAGTAAAACACAGTACACTGAATGAATCAGGACGGGTTCACATCACAAAGAGTGCGTAACAGAGCGTTAGGCCTCTAGAATGCAATCTAGCCGGCTTCCTGCGTTCAGGGGCGGGAGGGGGTGTGGTGGTGCATTGAAGTCAATGGCACTGTAGCCACACACCGCACCCGAACGCGTGGCACATTAGGGTCTGCATTCCGGTCCAGTGCGATCTGCAAAAACAGTGCATGCAGCATTTTTGCAGATCACACTGGACCGGAACGCAGGTACTAATGTGCCACGCGTTCGGGTGCTGGCGACAGCACTGCGGGGGGCGCGTGGCTGCGGTGCCATTGACTTCAATGCACCGCCATGCCCCCTCCTGCCCTTGAACGCAGGGAGCCGACCAGGTTGCATTCCAGAGGCCGAACGCACTCTTTGTGGTGTCAATCGGCCCTCAAAGAATAATGAGTCTCCAGTAGAACACAGTACACTGAATTATTGGTCAGGTTGCAGCAGTGGTAAGGAACA